ATCGGTCAGCACTCGGTGGATGATGTAGTCAATATCATGCTGGCTGCCTTTACTTCCCAGGACATTGTCCCTTTTAGGACCGGAAACAAAGATCTTTTTCTTTCCTAAATCCGCCCTCTGCTGAATTGAACTCAAGACCTTTGTGCCTGCAGGTACAACTACCCATTTATGCGTAGCCTAAGTCATACTGAGAGCCCCAGACGTGCTTAACAGTCGCAGTAAAATTGAGTTTACTATTTTACTCCACCTGAACAAAGTACTTAACCTCCTGTACATTTCCTCTCTTTTCCCCCAATGATTTTAATGTTGTTTCACTACATTGTTAAATATGGATCTCAAAAATCTTGTTTTTTTTTTTGTTTGTTTTTTAAGTGATTTATTTTCTTGCCTTTTTTTCTTAACTTGTTTTGCCTAGCCCATGTCATGCCTTACTTTATGACACCTGTTTGTACATTATGTTGAAGAAAAAAATGTGTCTGCATAGATAGCAGAGACTTGGAGAGAATGCTTGTGGATGCTTTACCATACGAGGCATATACCAAAAGAGAAGAGGGACTTAGAGCAAGAGGTAGATCAAGAACAAATGGAAAGATAATATCAGAGAAACTCTACACCACTGCGATGTGTCTGTGGTTGAAGAAAGAAAAGCACGAAGCAGGACCTTATATCTCCCTCAACACCTGTAGAGAAGTAAAGAAGAAGAAGAAGAAGAAGATAGCAGAGAATTATGCAGACTGTAGTCAGAGTTAGCTAATGGAGATTATCAGTATGCTATGGCAGACCTGCCTAAAATGGGTACTAGGATGGGCTGTCCTGGGAAAGTAAAGACAGCCGGCGTAATGCTGACCACATTACCCACCGAGTGCTGATGGTCTGTAAAAATATGGGCGTTCTCATATGCCCGATACGCCTAAAGGCGTGGAAAGGGATCTTTACTTTTCACTTTATGGCAGACTTGTTATTAGACTGCAATAGCTAAGAGACTGCAATAACCGGGACATATAGAAATATTCCAGATAACTGAGAGTTTAAAAACATAGTACACAAAAGAGTTGAATAGTAGAGCATGAGGCAGACCAAGAAAATGAAGAGATAATATATGAGCAATTGAAGTCACAAACTGAAAAGAGATGCCCTAGTCAAAGTTAAATGGAGGCGTGTGATATCTGCAGCAACGAACCTCAAGGGCTATAAATGCTGAGGAAGAGACCTTGCTTTCGGTCATGTGATTAGAAGAGAGGCTTTGGAAAGCATCATAACTGGAAAGAGCAGAGACAGGCCGAGATTATTGATTTTGGATAGTCTAAGAAATCAGCATGGAATTGGTGTAATCAGCGGAATTGATCAGGATTACAAGGTCTGAATCACTAACCATTGCAACTCAAGTGTTGTGGGGACTGAAGTTATGAATAATTAAAGTTCAGTGAATTCTACAAATAAGGGTAAAGTCAGGGTGAACAAGCAGCATATAGACCCTTGCCGTCAAACAAACATTGTGTATATCTCATTTGGCTTATTCTCTATATAATTATATACTTACTTTACTTATTAAATTGCTCCTTTTCTACCTTGGGGTGCAGAGGTTTGCCAGAGAGATCGCCAGACCTCTATCAGCGGTTTTCTTTCCGACTTTATTTAATTCCAGTACTCTGTCTGTCAGGGACTGTCGGATGTTGTCTTCCCAGAAGACCATGGGTCACCCTGGAGGTCTGGTTCCCTGGTTCTTAGCCTCCCAAGCCTGCCATGGTGGCTGATTTTCTCCCATTCTGCATACATGTCCAAACCATCGTAACTGGGATTGATCCACTCGGGTGTGTAAGGACTGGGTATCAAGATCTTGACGTATTGTCTGATTGCAGACTTTGTCCCTAGGACCACCTTTCTCAAATATCTCATTTCTGAGGCCTGAAGCTGGCTTCTGTGAGCTGTTGTCATTGCCCAAGACTCACATCAATACGTCAGGACTGGTACATAGGTAGAGCGGTATAAAATTATGTATGAACCTGAATATCGCAGATAGGTTTAAAGCTGAGCATCTGAGAAGAAACAAGTTAAATACATGTGTTGGCAATAACGGTCATGAAATCCAATGCTGTGGAAGACCTTTCTTAAAAAAAATAGGTCTCCTGAACAGCTGAGTAGCCGGTTGTTGCCAGTTGGTCTTTTAGGAAAAGACAGATTAAAAGTTGTTTGCCCTTGAGCAGTAACTAAATTCTGTAACTCCTCACAGCGCCATTCTCCTCAGACAATAATGATCTATTTGTGCCTCCGCACTGTTCACTCGTTCCCAAAGGGCACTCACATCTAGTTTGTCATACATTTATTCACCACCAAGTGGTGCAGAACCCAACACACTGGCATAGCCTGGAAAAAATATCCAAAGAACGTTAACTACCCAGGACCTCAATGCTTACAGTTACAATATAAACGTTATTATATTTAGGATCTTTTTTCTTTTACAGTAGTGGCATATTAGGGATATGATGTCAGACTCATACAAGTTGTTTTAAAAAAAAAAAAAAAAAAAACGCATAGTTATTCGGTGGTGCATTTGTTTTTAGTTGATGGGAAAGCCTGTGTGCCTAAAAACTATCGACAACAGAGGCAAACAACTGTCCACTGATTGGCTGAACCCTAAGGTAATCTTGTATGCAATCTGAGCACTTACCTTCTTTAAATTACAAGGATTTGGAATTTCAAAATTATGCTCCTTTCTGTAGTCATGAGTGTGGCTTTTTTTAAAAACACTATTGGCATTAGTGGATGATGTGATGAACATCATGCCATCCGCCTTTACTGTCCATGACATTACCTGGTGTGTGTTTTAGCCAAGGTCTAACTGAGAGTCAAGTTCAGTATTTAAAAACATCTGTCTAGGTCCTCATCTTCTTTCTTTGCCCTACTTTTGATGCCATAAAGCGTCACAGAGAGGAGTTAGATGTCATCTCCTGTCTTTTGCTAGTTGCATAGCTTGTGTTAAGTCTTGTTGCATGGCATGGAGGGTGTGTCAGCACACAAACTAATACATGCTGCAGGAGATTACAGATTGTGGAGAGGCAAGGCACCTGATGACGATAGCTTGTGTTAATGTCATATTGTATTTCTGTAGTGTCCCTTTTACTTCCTTAACCCATCTCTTTCTTGGTCAGTCTCTTGACTGGGACCGTCATTCACTGATGAATTTCTATATGTTCCCCCTTCACTGATTAAATAAAAACCAGGGAACAGACACTGCTCCTCTTTGGTGCATGTCAAAATTGGGGCGGCTATCTTAGATTGCACATCCGTTCTTACAGATCAGGCTTGTTTGTATGTAGACTCTTGGTCCCTTGCATCTCAGACAAATGCAGTCTGACTTCAGAGGAAGAGATGATCACTGAAGTATTTGAAAAATGTTAACTTGTCATGTTCTGCACACAAGCTTTTTAAGGGCCACTTGCAACCATCATGTTGTATGTCTGACCCGCCTGAGCTACTTGCCCATACCATATTTGGTGCTTTATTAATATCATACCCCAAAACAGGGAAAATTCACAGGTCACGGAAGTCTAATATTTCAGAGGGTGGTAGATAGGCTGCATACAGTCGTGGGACCTAGGCTTCATGCAGTCGTGGGACGTAGGTGGATTGGGGTTAGGGCCAGTTCTAGATGTTTTGGGGTCGTTAAACGCATCAGAAAGCCAGGGAAACCCAGTCTTACCACCCTCTAAAATGTTGGACTGTCCTGTGATGTCATCTGGGGTAGGATATGAAGAAAGTACCCACTATTTCATGTGTTTATTACTGTATGAATGTATGTACTTATTGTTTGTTGTCACTAATGCAGTACATTTTGTCACAGTGTAGAAATGATACATCTTTCACATAGTCACAGCTGTTTCAAATAAAAATCTCTTTTTCAACCTGGTGTTAACTATAAATGTTTTTGAGGGGGAAAATTTAGTTTTAAATGGAAAATGTTTTGTCTATGTCTATGTGGAATTTGCATTTTTTTTAAAAAAGACATATTACAGCTCAGTGTAGCTGAAATCTGCAACAAAGATTAACAAATCCATTCCCCAACCCAGACAAGAAGTGCAAGATACATACAGAAAATAACGACACTGGGCTACAACCTGATATCAGTGAGATAGGAAAGAAGTAGTAGTTCAGTTTGGTAAAATGACTGTTAAGCATTTACTATAAGAATATCAAACATACGCAGAAGGGTGACTAATTTTTTAGCCTACATCTGCTCCATTTGGGGATAAATGCAACGGAGGATAGCAACAGTCTCAAGTTTGCAGAGAGCAGCTGCAAACTAACACTTCCAGTTGGGTCCAATTTCTTGTAAATGTCTCTTGACCTACATGAGTCAAGAATTGACATCACAGCATTCGGGGCATTCCCATGCATGCTCCGTCCTCATCTTCAGCAACCAGCACAGAGTTCCAATACCGATGGTACCGGTCACAATCTGGTTATATGTCTGTCTTTCCTCTCCTCTGAGTGTATTGAGGCGGCCAGACCTACATTTGCTGTGGGAGACTGTTTCTACAATTTTCAATCTAACAGTTCATGTATTTAATTATATTGCTGAAATAAAACTCAAATCTGTTGCAGCTTTTAATAAATGTATTTCGACCAATCTACAAATACTCATTTTACTTGTGTTCCCCTTCCTCAATCTCCCAGACCCCATGGGAGCACACAATATATATATTTTCCCATATTCCCTTCTGGGTCTGGGTCTCTTGAGGGTGGGGGGGGGGGGATAAAACCCCTTGCTCCCTACCAAGCATGTCATAACAAGTGACTAATTAGTTCGCTGAAATCTTATGTGTTAGGCCAAAATATGCAGGTGTTGCAGCCAAGCTGTAAACCACAACACAATGTGCCAACTGCCTGCCCTTTTAAAGGAAAACATGTCTAGGAACCATAGACACAATTTGCTGGCAACACAGCAAACACAATTGACATCACATTTCAATAGCTAAGGTCCACACAGAAACAAAATAGTTCTACATATTAGCGGCTGCTCCTTGCAGAAGCTTCTGGAAACGGGTAGCAATGGTCAGTGAGGTGTCAATAAACCTTTCTACACAATTTGAGACGCAGGTTTCTGTTTTGCTGTCCAGTTTGTCTCGGGGACGGTCAATACACTGCTCCCAGCAGACATCGGCCAATTTATGAACCTGAAATCATACAGATGATTGCCAGTTGTTAATTTCACATAAATTTGTGGTAGACAGTCATAACACTGTGACACGAAAGAGCTGATATGACTAGCAGGTGCTGCATTAACTGAAGATGGTCAGCCCATGGATCACGCAGACATTGTTTTTGCCTTAGAGAGATAGGACGTTCTGAAGATTTTGGAAGCAACGTGTTAGCACATCACTGCTGAAAATACGAGAATTGGGAGTTAAGATCGGCACAGCCAAGTATGAGAAGTACACCGGACACATACAAAGTCTTGTTACCCAACATAGGACTGGCACTATTAACCGTGTGATGCTAATGAATATGTTGAAAGGGGAATCTGAGCACCTATGGATGTGTCCGGAGTGCTGTGAAGATAATCTTAACTCATAACTGACATTATGAGCAAATGGATTCCTTAAGGACTGTGAACTATTTACTTATTTATTTTAAATGCAGTTTTTAATCATGGTATGGGGCTTCGCATGTCGACCTAGCCTAAAATGGGTAATGCTGACTATATTACCCACCTAGTGCCGATTGGTCTGTAAAAATATAGGAATTTACAAACTATATTACTTCTTTAACGATGACACAGTGGGGCTGCATGGTCTCGAAGGTAAGGTGTCCGCCTTGAGTGCTATAGGTCCCGGGTTCAGGCCCCGGTGAAGGCTGGGATTTTTTCTGTTCACGTGGACTTCTAGTAATTTCCCCTGGTCTCCGTTGGAAATCGAAAATAGTAGCCTGCCGGGGCAAAATTTAAAGTTAAAAATCTACCCAAAAAGTATTTCAGGATCCTGGCCGGTGTAACAGAGTTCATGCACTATGCTGAGATTCTTGAGACTCAGGCTTGAGTTAGAAGAAGAACAGAGCACTTATGGGTTACTACCCATGTGCCATGATGTTGATTCATTGTTCAAATTTCAAACTAAACAATGACAATACAAGAAATGACAAATAAAGAATAAACAAGTTCTTTGCTGTGCCAATGACAAAGCTGTTTTGTTAAAGAAATGTCAGGTTTTAATATGTTAACACTGAAAACCACAGCTAATGACTTCTGGTCGGTGAGCTACTTTATGATAAAGTGGATGTGGTGAATGCTCTATGTCTTCGTGATCAAATAAACAGTGCAAAAGAACTGACATGGAATCCAAACACTATAAGACAAATGATTCATTTATTCAGATATAGGAAAAATCTAGAGCTTTGAGAGAGAAGCTCAAGTGAATTAATACATTACAGTTGGAGAGGGTTCATTTTGACAAACGAAATATATAACTAGAATGTCTTTGCTGTGGCAGCCACAGATTCAAAGAAATGAAGGAAGACCAAAAATCATACAGAGAAATGAATTATTTTTTTTAAATTAGAGAGAACATGGAGGGACCTTTGCATGGCAGCATAGGAAAGGCAGCTCGATGTAATTTAGCCAGGGGCCATTGTTTGGGGCTAAATGGAAAAAGAATAAGATATCTCACATCTCTTGTTAGATGTTAAATAAATATGAAAAGAAAGCTACAATTTCTGCATGGTTATTTTATATCTTAGTAAGACAACTGTCCATCAACATCACTAATCAGTTGCATCATTATATGTGATATAGGGCCGGCAAATCTATTGCTCCATTCCATTCTATACTGTGCAATGCTTCAATATCATGGATGGAATCTAGTCCAGCAGCCTTGGTCTCTCTCATCAACGTTCATTTTTAGGTTTCTTTTTGACGTCCTTGCTTCCTTAACCCCTTATTTCCTATTTTAGGTCTTCTCTGCTCGTGTCTTCTCAGGATGTGTCCAATATAGTGCCATCTTCTTTATTATCAATGGTTACCCAGACATTTTATTTTCTTCACCCCCTCTTGAATGTATCCCAATTTGTGCTCAACAAAGGCAATAAGTGGCTAACAAGAATAAACCCCCAAAGATTGTGGAACTCTTTTTCTACACGTTCACTAGCTGTGAACTCCGGCAGGAAGTTATGGTTGTTCATCCACTTCTGGACTTGAGTCTTGTTTCATAACATAACTCTGAGTCTCAGGGGGTTTAGCATCACAGGCCCAGGGGGTAGTAAAGAAAGTAATAAAATTGGCGCATCCTGCGTTCATTGGGCTTCTAGGTAGGAACCTATGAACGTATGATGCATTTCTTGGGACTCAAAGAGTTCAGTTTTGTGCATGCAGCTGTTTTACAGATCTGACTTATCTGTACGCAAACTCTTGGTTCCTTGCCTCTCAGGTGGTTGCATTCTGACTTCAAAAGGAACCCCCTAATTAGTCAACTTTTTTTATATGCTTGTTAGGGAGGCAGTGGGTGTAGTTCCCCACCCCTCCCCCAACAAACTGGCCCTGGAACCCACACACTGGGAATTTTATGTTCAATAGAAGGCAAGAAATGACCAATAAGAAAAAAATGTTGGTGTTGTTTCTGGATTGTCCTACCTGAGCTTGGAGTTCAGCTTTTTGAGATTCCATCTGAAGAAAACTGGCCACCTCTGGGTCGACATCATCCTTACTACTTGGTAATGAGTCAAATGATGACATTATCTGTTTGACAGTCAAACAACAAAATTAAATAACTCACTATTAGGAAAACCCTAATGGGCCACTAAAGTAATTCTTACAGCAGTTAAGACCTATCTTGATATGTGGAAGTGAATCATGGACAGTTGGCAAATTGATGAAAATATTTGAAAGCTGCGGAGATGTGTTTTTTATAGACGAATGATGAGAATACCCTGGACAAATAAAAAGAGGGCTCTCCTTCGAACTTCTACCCCATATTATGGCGGTGAAACAAATACCCTAACAGGGCCTCTGTTTGTTTTTGTTTATGAGTCTGCCTGTATGTCTGTGTGCGTATGTGCGCGTGGGTGACTGTATGCGTGCCTGTGTGTGTATTTGTGTTTCCCTGCCTGCGTATGTGTGTGTGACTGTGACTGCATGCTTGTGTGTCTGTGTGGGTTTATGTCTGTGTGCCTTGGTTTGTGTATGTTTGTATGGGTCTTTTTGTGCGGCTATGTGTGTGTCTATATGTGTCTGGGTTGTATGCGTGTGTTTTAGAGTGAATGTCTGTGTTGGTGACAGTGTGTATGAATGTATCTATGTAAATGTGTGTGTGTATGTATGTATGTATATGTGTGTGTGTATGTATGTATATGTGTGTGTGTATGTATGTATGTATGTATGTGTGCATGTTAGTATGTATGTGAATGTGTGCGTGTATTAGGTGCCTTTGTGTGTGTATGTGTGAGTGAATGGGTTTGCACGTGTATGTGGGTGTGTGTGTTCGCGCGCGAGTGTGCATACATATTTTACCACCCATGCTTTTGTTTTTGACTTGATATTCATAGCATGCATATTATTACATGAACATAACATGCTTTATTGATGAAATACAACTGCTGTGTGAAAGATGAGAGTTTGGAAGGACCGAATGTAAGACAGGCTTGCGTGCCTAATTTGTAACCCTTTGAAAATAAAGTTCGTTCATGCAGTCCTATGCAAAATGCGGAGATCCTGCCGAGGAACAAATCGCTGCAAAACTAGGATCGCTTCAGAATAACGAAACAAACGCTCTAACAGGGTCTCAACGAATTATTAATTGTGGACCTGTTTCTGCAACTATGCCGCACCGACAACAGTATCCCCCGCGCTGCGCGGATGAGGGTTTAACTAGAAGGCTGGGACTCACAAGCAGCAGCTCCCGCATCTCCGGCAACTTCCTCCAATTTATTTGCTCGTGAGTCCCAGGCATCTAGTTTAGATCCCTATTTGTGCCGCTTGTAGCGCCGCAGGTGATACACTCAGCGGAGTTTAATCCTAAGAACACTATCGCTAATCTGCGTCACAGCGCGTGGTCTCCCCGCCATCTCCATATTATCGTCTGTAATGTTGCGTGTATCGAAATTGTCAATGGTCGCTAGTATCGTCTACTAGTATCATCTGCAGAAATGTTCGAAATTGTCAACGGTTCGCTATTATTGTCTGCTACTATCGTGTCTGCAGTGTTTCATGTCGTGACATTGTCAAGTAATCCTAGTTTTGGCGTGATGTGTTCGTCGAAGGAAGTCCGCATTTTACACATGACTGAGGCCCTGTTAGGGTATTTGTTTGGCCGCCATAATATGGGGTAGAAGTTTGAAGGAGAGCCGAAAAGAGTAATGAAGATGTCTTGAAATAAACTGACTCACGAAGAAAACTGATTGCCCACACCAGAGAGAGACAATGTACATTCTGTGGTCATGTGATGAGAAGAATTAAACTGGAGTACATCGTGACAGTTGGAAAGCTGGAGGGGAGGAGAGGCAGAGGGAGACAGAGAAAAGATGATCATGCTGGACAGTGACATCATGGTATGGAGGATCATCTGTGTCAGAGTTGACTAAAAGCAAACGATACGGAAGGTTGTGGATAGACTACCAATGCCATATAAATGTGATCTTTAAAATGGATATGTGCTCGCAAATCTGAAGTTCAGTAGTTGAGTAGTGCTGAACAAGACAAGTCAGGAAATGGAACAAAACCAATCTTTTTACGATCAGAGCTTTCCTTTCGGTCGCAAGTTTACATTATCATTTACTTTTACAACCGGTGGGGTGAATGCTAAGAAATAGAAAAGAGTCAGTGGAGTATGGGTTTTAATAGTATAATTAAAATTAATTAATTATAAATATTCTAATTATTTATAGAGTATCTCGAACTCGAATATTAATTTTAATTAAGTTTCATCATTCTGCATGATTCTTGATGATTTTCTCTCTCTCTCAGTCTAATTGAGACTCTCTCAACTCACTGAATGTATGAATTTCTGAAAAATATTTATTTATTACTCGAAGACGCATTGTTTTTTTTATTCCGCTGAGAGCCTGTGTATTCCAAGCAACAAGATTTTAACAAGAAAATACTAAAGGAGCTGTGTCAACTTACAAAAGGTCTAAGTGTGTTACTTATTGTGTATCCCCGCTGTCACGTTTTCTCTCTGGTACTTCTGCAACATGAATCCAAAAGCGGAAGTAGATCTCTAAAGGTCATCTATGAATATACGCATCATCATCATGTGCGTTGGCTATCTCTCAAGATCACCAGAATTCCAGATCATGTCAGTGTTCTTGTTTCGTCCCATCGATTAAGCCAGGAAATCCAGGTATTTTAAATAAATTACCATGCAGGAATATATGCAAAGTCGATTATTGCCAAACTGCTATGAATTATTTATGTTTTCAGAGTTGAGTTGAGTCAAGAATTGACATCACAGCACTCAGGGCACTCCCATGAGTGCTCCATCCTTATCTTCAGCAGTCAGCGCAGAGTTCCAATTCAGATGGTACCGGTCACAGTCTAGTTATATGTCCGTCTTGCATTTCCTCTGAGTGTAGTGAGCCGGCCAGACCCTCTGGTTACACCTAGGTGCCTCATTCTCTTCAGGCCTACAATAATCTTGTGTCTCTACTAATTCCCTTACTTGTTCCCAAAGGGCTTTGACCACATCTGCCTTGTCATATATCAATTCACCACCCAGTAGTGCAGTTTTAGCTAATCTGTCTGCCTGTTCATTACCCACTACGCCGGCATCGCCTGTCGAAAAGATTTATGTTTTCAGAATGTTGCAAAAGACCCTTTTCCACACCTTTAGATGTACTGTGCATAAAAGTCTAGCCCTATATTTCTTAGACCAATCAGCATTCGCTGGGTGATGTGGTCAGCATCACACTGGTCGCCTTTACTTCCTAGGACTTTACCTGGTACCCGTTCAAGACTTGGTCGATCCGCAAGGCTGATTTTAGAAGAGAAAAAAAAAAGCCTGGCTCCATCAGGACATGAGTCTAGCCGCTACACCACTGCTTCCCGAAATATTGGCTAATTCTTCTTCTTTTTCTTCGCGTTCATCAGCTGTACACTCTGGCGGAAAGTTCTGGTTGCTCGTCCACTACTGAAATGTAGTCCTGTTCCAGAACCTGAGTGTTGCGTGTGCATCAGTTTTACAGATCTCATTCTCTTGAATACAGACTGTTGGTTCCTTGCCTCTCCGGCAGATGCACTCCGACTTCAAAGGAAGCTCCCCAATTAGTCGACTCTTACGACATGCTTTGCGAAGGCAGAGGGTCTATTCTTGTTTTCCCCCATAATGGGGCCCCGGAACCGACACGGGGGTAATATTGGCTAATGTCTTTATTGCATGTCCTGTACTCACCAATGCACGAAGGGGGGAGGTGTTTAGGATTTGGAGCTGAGTGGCTACTGCAGGTTATGATGTTTATTTATGCCCCCGACAATAAATGTGTACGTGGTTAGTGTCTTGTGGGAGAGCGTGTACAATTCGGAGTAGCAGATGGATCACCACAGTCTGGTGAGATTGGTGCAGTTGGGGGTGACGAAAGATTCTGGTAGATGCTCGAGGCTCAGAGGAAAGGCAAGACGGACGTTTAATCAGAATTGTAATGGGGAATATTTTCACACAGATTAGGAAGGTTGGGGGGAAGGCCCAAAGCTAACCCAAAATACCTAGATGTTCCAGATACTCGGATTAAACAAGGATCTTGAGATAGGTGATGACCACTAGTTATCACGGATATCATGATGACGCGACTAAAGGTCGCCACGTGAAAGTAAAACACCACTACGTGTTGCCACGTGAAACTAACCCGTAGTATAAGTCAGACTTGATTCTGATCAAAAGCCCAAAAAAAGATGTTAAGTGGGGACCCTGAAAGGGGCCTTGTCTTTAGTAACTCAATAGCGGCGACAATTTGTTTCGAGATGGTGTGCCTGGTGGATGCCCTGATACCGAAAACTGCAGCGTGCCGACTAGATGGTGACCAAACTAAGCGTTACAACACGCAGCACATAAACGTTGCCAAGATAGAGTCACTGCTCATTATAGGAGCTGACTGAAATTGGCAGGAAATTTTTTTTTTTTTTTTTTACGACTACCATGACCATCAAGTTGAGTTTGTGTCGACCTGTTAGAGCGAAAGGATGTGCGACTGAGTGTAAGAATGCCCACGTAAGATTGCTTGTTGAGAAAGGAGATCCTGACGACAAAGTGTGAAACCAAGATGAACCAGGCCAGTCTGTGTAATGGCAAGAAACTCAACCTGGGTTATTGGAGCTGACTCTGGTCAGGGAATGCATGAAGAACCTGCTCGTTGAAGGCTGCGTGAATTGGTGTGCGAGAGCTGTTTACTAGGACAACAACTGGACACTATTGTAAGTGGTAACATGCCAATAAACTTATGTCTCGTAAGCTTAAGTCGGTGTCGGCTTGTACCAGTTATGTAACGTAGAGTGTGTGAGAAGAACATTTACAACACACGCACATGAACACCACCTAGACAACGAGAGAATACAAACACCATTTATTGCAAAAATGCTACTGGCACCATTAGTATCGGAACTCTTCGCTGGCTGCTGAAGATAGGCTTGGAGCGCTTATGGGAATGCCCCGAGTGCTGTGATGCCGGCTCTTGAATCAAAAATCAATCAAGCAATCAATTTGTAAAAAAAAATTACACAAAGTATAGATTTTCCAATGAGACCAGCGC